AACTATGCATGTTGCACTAACTTTACCCACACTAAAGCTATTAATTAAGTGTACCAACATACCAAAATTCAAATGCCTTATCTGACTTCTTCAGTTTTAACCATCTAGTGCTATTTCACCACACATTTGCTTTTTGGAATCTCCCAGCTCAAATCTCAATGATACATCTACAACACAGGAGATTAAGGATTTACATTAAAGTTCTTTATTGGGAAAGAGGTCACTGAAACTGTCATAGATAATTGGGTCTCTGCCTCGCTCTTATTCTGGGGAAAACTTGACAGAACCAATCTGACATGCATGTGAGAATATCGTAGCCACTCATTCAAATGAGATTTTGCAGCCAATTAAGAATTTGAATGATGTCAATTTAGTTTGCCAAGTGATTGACACGTAGGCCCTTCCTGAAATTTATTATTCCTTGGGGGAACAAGTACACTGGGCCTCCTTGATTCCCACATGCAGGAGATCACAGATGTACGCAGGTAATTAACAATTTATTCTCAAACCAAATTATGATTAAATCCCTAATTTAATGAATTACGATAGTAATCCTCCATTGATAGTCAACTTACGGAGGCGAGAAGGTTCTCAAATTGAATTGGTGAAAACGGAAGAGTAGGTCCCACTTATATCAACCCACTCATAATTTAAAGACTAGTGATCTTGGAATTGTGTTGCACGGGCAAAGAGATAGACTCACTGTTAGTGATATTAAGCCAAATAGTTTTTTTCCTATTAAAATAAATAAACAATAATAAGATTAAATCATAATGGGACAATAAATACGCCATTTGAGATCTCGTGCATTTAATACCCATGAGATTAAACCGGGACAGCACTGTCCCTTTGCTTTGGCTCTGTTCTTCCCCTGTTTTATACAGAGTCCTTCCGTAATTTCTTTGCTTTTCTTTCTCTCTCTGTGCCTTACAAAAGACAAGTAGAAACCGAATTATATAAGGAAACAAACCCAGGACAGTTTTCAGAGTCTCCTAGTGCGTGTCTTCCTCTGACGAACCAAACATGTCGTCTACTCCTTCATCTTCCTCTAATGGGGTACTCTCTTCCATAACACTTCATATCCTTGCTCGCATCAAAAGGTTTCTCAAACCCAAAGCGACCCGAGTAAGCTCTGATCCATCTGATCAACTCGAAATATCAATTACCAAATCCGAGAGCAACATCGACAAGGTTGAGAATTGTGAATCAGCGAGGCAAGCTATGGAGAAACAGAGTTGTGAGGAGGAACAGTCTGTGATATCGTTGAAGAGTTGCGTGAAGAAGCTTCACTTTGGGAGCTGGGAAGAGAAGGAGATGACGGCGAAAGAGATTGAACGCCTAGCCAAAGAAGATGTCAGGGTAAGAAAGCTGATAACGGAGCTAGGAGTGGTGCCGGAGCTGGTGTCAATGGTGGCGTCGGAGGTGGCTGGCCGGCAGCTAGCAGGGCTGAAGGCATTGGTCCAGCTCGCCCATGGAAGTTACAAGTACGTTTTGCGATTTTAGTTCTCTCCTGCTTCTATGATAAAACTTTCTGCTTTTGTTGAGCTTTGGATTTCCTCAAGACTTCGTTATTTGATTCAAACAGGAAACAAGTAAATTTGATAGGAAATTGGTAAATTCAGTTGGTTGATTCTTTAGAAATTCTTTGATGTTATTGGTTGAGTTGATTCCCCTACGGAAAACATATTCTGCAGTATTCTTGTAGTATAAAGGTATCAAAGGAGGTACTAGTTTCTCAAAGCCTTTTCTCCTGAAATTTTTGAGGGGTTGAAGCTCTAACAACAATTGATTCTTGGAATCACGCAGAGAATGCATGAAGTTTTCTTCTCAAATTTGAACACACCTTTTTTTCCCAATATTGTTTGACATGTTGCTTTTTATAAGAGATATTTTGATGTTATTTCAAATTTTGTTTGTTGATTTTTCATTTTATCCCTCTTTAATTACTCATATTGATCAAATTTTATTATTATTATTTTTACATATTTGTTGTCTCCAATTAATTTTAACTAACATTTTGAAAACATAATGTGATTAATTATTTTTTGTAAAAAGGAACAGAGGGAGCATGAGATGGAAAAATGAGAAAACATCCCGAAATCCCATTTTTCGAAATCAAAAAAGAAAAAAAAAAAAAAACAGTAAGACAGTGCGTATGAGGCTTCTTGCAATACATGCTGTAAAATTACGAGAGTTATCAAAGCAATCAAGGCTTGCATTAATGGCGTTAAATCCAAGAATACAAACGTGGCCAGTGTTTTCGGATCACCTTCCTAAAACGTGCATATTCATTAAAATAACGTAATTATAATTAATTCTCCAAATTTGTGCTTCGTTGTCCACTATGTTGCTGGGTTGTAGGACGAGCTTACAAGGGAACAGTATCGCTACTGGGGAGACATTTTTGTCTTCACAATGTATAAACAACAGATTACTAAAATCCAGGATAGTTATTCAGATTCCGCCAATGTCTTCAGCCTCATTTTAAAAGTCTTATGTTGACGTGCACTTTCCAACACATATCTTTATTTGAGATCGTCATTGACTTCTTTATGCAAGAAGTGTTGATACTCTCTAGTTAGTTTGGCATTCTTATTTCTTTAATATGTAAATTACATCATCCCCACAAAAGAAAAGAAATAATGACGGCAGAACATTGAATAGTTGACTTCTTATGCTGACTCAGTACACATTAATTATTCAGTACAAGCTTTCAGCCTAACTTTGACAAAGCCTGAAGTATGGTTTGCTTCTTGTCCTAATTAAGTTTGTTCCTCTTTCAGAAACAAGGCTTTGATAGTGGAGGCAGGTATATTCTCCAAGCTGCCAAAGAGAGTTGACCTTGATGAATCAACAAGAAGGGAATGTGCAGAGCTGCTCTTATCATTGTCATCTCTAGCAAACAGCCAATTCCCTCTTGCTTCATTAGATTTTCTCCCATTCATTAAAGACATTCTGGAATCAGATCCAAATGTTGAAACCAAGCAATCATGCCTGGGTGCTTTGTGCAACCTCTCAACCGTGTTAGAGAATGTAGGGCCTTTAGTTTCAGCTGGGGTTGTGCCTATCCTCTTAGAACTGTCCTCTATCAAAGAAAATTCAGAGAAAGCACTTGCTACTTTGGGAAACTTGGTGGTGACCTTGATGGGAAAAAAGGCAATAGAAAATAGCTTAATGATGCCTGAGAGCTTGATAGAGATTTTGACATGGGAAGATAAACCAAAATGCCAGGAGTTGTCAGCTTACATTCTGATGATTCTAGCTCACCAGAGCTCATCACAAACACAGAAGATGGCACAAGCAGGGATTGTCCCTGTGCTACTTGAAGTAGCTCTGTTGGGAAGCCAATTAGCACAGAAGAGAGCACTAAAGCTACTGCAATGGTTCAAGGATGAGAGGCAATCAAAGATGGGGCCACATTCTGGGCCACAAACACCAAGAATGGCGATGGGCTCACCAGCAGACCACATAGAAGCAAAAGAGGGCAAGAGAATGATGAAGAGCTTGGTGAAACAGAGTTTGCATAGGAACATGGAAATTATTACTCAGAGAGCCAGCACCCCCGGGGATCCAACTAGGTTGAAATCATTGGTTATCAGCACAAGTTCCAAGAGTTTGCCTTATTAAATGTGTTCTCTCTCTCTCTCTTTTTTTTTTTTTTTTTGAGTGCCTTAATTTTTTCCTCTTTAATATTAGAATTCCCGGATCTGTGCTGTGCCTTCACCAGCAGCCATTGACGGGCCAGAAATTTACAGAATGATTGACAATGGAAGAAATATCACATTTCTTGCACATCTTCAGTTCATCTAGCGGCCATGTCTAAAGGAAAACTTGATATGTCCTCCTTTTTAACAAGGCAAAAGACATGTCACTTAAACGCAAACCGGAGCTTTCACGTTAGAACGAACATGGCCGATCTAGTACCGAGTTCCACGGCAGGAGTCACATGGCCCACATCTCATGACCAGTTCATACGATAACACTCCTCATTTTTCCCCCCAGAATAAGGCGCAAGCAGAATTTCACACTCCTCATCAATAATCTTTATGCCCAAACACAGACAGATCAAATTTCGATGATTTAGAGGGTCAAAGAGGGTCAACTCATGAAGTGTAACCTTGTACAAAAATGTATAACATGTAATATGGGCAATCCATTTTTAAAGTCAAGTATTCCTAGTTCACTCTAAAATCATTACAAATAGTCTCACGCTAGAGAACGATACAACACATGGCCCCGTCTACTGCACTAAGCAACTCGCGGCCACTGGCATCCTGAGTCCAAATCCCGAAAGACTACATGGGAATTTGATGTAGGCTGAATGACATCGGATCAAAACGGGACGCGGAAACCACCTCAAAAATCATTAGTTACAGCAGTAGTTAAGGCCGCCAATGAGGTTTAGCAGACATGAAAAGTTCAAGGAAATAACAAGCACTGTTAAACATGCATTACCCAAAATAAACTCAAAACAGCATTAATTAGTGCTTTTCCATGTTAATAGATCAGTAAATTTCACACTGAGCAGTTTTAAGCATGAAAGAACACCACAACACGAAATGCAAAAGGTATTTCCAGGGTAGTTAAAAGGAGGAATTCAACATGTTTAGAATTCAGAGAGAGCACTTGCTAAAAGAGAGCCAAAATCTTAATTCCAGGTGTTTGATAGCCATGCTCATTTCGATCAGAAGTTTTGCTCTATATTAAAAATACCAGAAGCTCACACTGTCCCAAACTACAAAACAGAATCTAAACAACTTAAATGCACTAAATTTAAGTGATCAAACAATAAGAATCTAACTAAAAGAAAAGGCATGCATACTGAGACAAAAGATTAGAAAAGAATATAAAAATATTGCTCTCAGTGAAGCACATCAGACTCAGAAATAAAAACATAATAGCCACATCGGGACTTAGGCATTGATCTATAGAAGCACGCTAAACAAACAGCCGGCTCAAAAGGAGGGTTGGCGCAGAATAATTAAAAAGACAGACGAGGAACATCCAAATATACAAAAGAATGTTGTTTATTCTTTAGCTGTGCACAAGAGAATGGAATCAATTCAGAGTTTTCCCAAAACAAAAATCTATCTTTTAGAAAGTTCATTCATGTCTTTTGCTTATCTGTTAACCTCTAACAGGGTGAAGATGTAATAGAATATTGTAATGCATAGCTGTCAAAATCATATACATGTACATTGCTCCAGAAGAACAGGTAAAAATTGACAAAAGCCCAAAAACTTACTGTAAATGATGGACACATCCATCACACAAGAGTGACAGCATGACACTCACGTAGAAAATTTTAACCAAGGTTTTTGATATCACTGGCAACATTTCAATATGGTATCAATAACTTTGAAGCTTGAAGCCGGCCGCATTTTTGACAAAGACTCATTAATAACTAGGGAGAGGGGAACTCTCCTAGAAAAATACAGTGTCACAGGCAATACCTGTTTAGCGGCAGAGGGATGAATGGAGTTAAAATGAGACTTTCAATACTAACAGGCTTTTACATACCCTGATTTTTTCTGCGCCAAGAAGAAGAAAGAAAGAAATAAAGAGAACAAGCAGTGCATAAGTCATTTGACCTGTGCAGATGGGAATGAGATTAAAATTTACCCGTCACAGGAAACAGCAGCTCAACAGCATGTTAAGGTCTCAAGGAATGAAGTGGTTCAACAGGAATAAGTATATATAAATAATCCGAATCACACAGATGTGATTCTGCGAATTTTAATTAAATCAGCAATCTGTATTGTGCCAAAATCACACCAAATAGTGCAATTTGTATTGTATATCCTCTGATACTAGCGAAGTTGATAAGGAAAAAGGTAGCACTTATTGTCTACGTGAACATGCTCATTCTTTCCTTTACCCTCATTAATTTTCATTCCTTTTTAAGCTTTTTGCCTCTTGAGGATCAAATGGGCTGAGCCTAACAATCAAGGGTACCAAATGAAATGTGGTTTTCCTTTAATGCAAGGACAATCAAAACATTATTCAACAGTTGAATAAACTGCTTGCATACAGCCCCTTGATGTCAGCTTGACTAAACTTGTATACTAAACAAGTTGATTCCAAATTATTAGACTCACAGGCTATTCGAGGACAAAATAAGCTCGTTTGGACTTTTCAAAATTCCAAAAATATAATTCATATCCATCATCTTAAGTTCATATAAACATATTTATCACTTTTATGGTCAGAAAATACTGTCCTTGACCGCAAAAATATGGTGTAGTTTTTTTTTCTTAAAAATAAATTAAGATTTACCCCAAAAAAAATAAATTCAACATAGACATTGCCAGATCAAGTTTCAGCGAATCCTTCATCAAATAAGAATAAGAATAATACTCAAGGTAGGCAATTTTTAAACAAGTCTAAGTCTGAGTGCCAAATCAATAACAGACCTAAGATAATATGCATAGTCTCAAAAGGCTTGCCTCAACTGATTTACGCCCTCAAGACTCGAGAATTTAAAGATCGATTACAAGGATATTTCAAGAAATGCTCAAGAATACAAACCCCAGATAGTGAAACAAATGCTCAGTAGCCACATAATGACCAGAGATACAGAGTAAAATGATCAACGGCTAAAGATGCATCAAAGTTCAAGGTGAACACCTTTTTTTTTCATGCAGGAGGCATAAGCACCTTTGTATCTATTGAATAATTTAAAACCCTATTTAGACGAAAATCATCCAATAAAACGTTCTACAAATCTTCATATGAATACTACATTCAAATACTAAGCAAACTCATGTAAGCTTTCACTAAAACCTATCACAAATAGGAACAACACATAGAAGCAGAGGTAGTGAAGCAGCAACAAATTCACAGCAGTCCATGTAATCAAAACCAAAGTATTCATTGTCTGGATTCACGAAATCAGCATAACCATTTAAAGCATAAGCGCCCAAGAAGCCATCACAAACCTGAATCAAACACCCATTCAAAACTCAAACCAGGAATTAACATTTTAAAAACTAAGGGCGAGCTATAAAAAGTAACAATTATTACTCAGAAGCACATAGCAGAATCATCAAATAAATAAGCATAACGCTACATGTCATTTTGTCGTATCCACTTGAGTCTGAAGACTGTACTCTGTAGAACTAAATAATTTCCATATATAGCCATTATGCAGATTATTCATATGTGCATGCAATTTCTAGAATTAAAAAATGAAAGAGAATAATTAGTCCTTCTGACAGAGCAACATAAACTCTCCTTTTGGAAAGCCAAATGAAAGAAAGATCTCAAGTTTAGTGGAAGGAAACAAATATTACTATTCATGATAGGATTAGGTTCATCCAAATATCTGCGTGCATGAAGCGTGCGTGTGTGAAATTGTGCTGGGGCAGCAGAAGGAATCTGATCCATTCCTTTCCTTCCAAAACTCCATTAAGTCTCAAAAATTCTTTCTTCCTTTATCTTCTCTTATATTCCAAGTCCAATCATACAAAACCCCAAAGGAAAAAAGTCAATTAACCACACGATACTAATAGATTGGGAAATTGACAAATTGAAACCAAGGTTACGAGTCATGCCAAAAAAGATAGGGAGCGTGCACAGACGGAAGAACCAAAGAAGTCACCATCAAAACAATTTCACATACAAAGGAAATAATTAATATACATATTTTTCTTTCTACTCATCATATTTCATAAAAATTATGGTGCAGCTTCATGATCACAGATGGCCAGTTGATATTAAGCCTATACTCTATTTGTTATGATTCAAAAGGTAAAAAATCCTAAGATAGCACCAAAATGTCCCCATATATTTAATAGCGAGCATTCAAAATTGGAGAGTAACAACAGTCGAAGATTTGTTTCGTGTACACCAATCGAAATAGCAAAAGAAAAACATTTTTTCAACGAAACGATGAGGATTTAATAACAAAAATAAAGCAAAACTTTAAAGTTACCAAGGTTAGGATGGTATACAAATAGAAGTTCAAAATGAAATTATGAAAACAAGAAAAAGCAAATCCATATAAAGGCACGGATCGGTAGTTCTATTAACCAAAATAAAAAAAAGCAAACCACATCAAGGGCACGTATTAAAGCAATAAACAACAACAATTGAAAAATCAAATGCAATATTACCTCAGTAGTATGGCGGCATGCCTTGGTACATTCCTCCTGGGGCCATCCTTGGCATTTGCATGGGCTGTTGATGCTGAGAGGGAACAGCAGATGAGGGCAAATTATAATGCGAACCATCTGGATATCCTCCGGTCGGCATTCCAGCAGAGGATGAAGGCAGCCTAGCGCCATAATCACCAGAAGTAGGCCCACTGAACTGAGAGCCACTATAAGCCCCTCCAATACCGGGACCGTACCCCCCACCGCTATTAGGAGTTAAGGTAGATGGAACCTGCGTCCCATACGGCGGCAATGAAGACTGCAATCCATAATTATTACTAGGCATAGCCATAGGGCCCTGATGCGCACCACCAAATCCCCCATATGAAGGGCCATGACCCCCATAGTTTGATCCCATCATAGGGCCAGGTAAAGATGGTTGCGGCTGTTGTGCTGCCATGCCATTACCTGGTAACCCAGCAGGGCCCTGGTTAGGAGCTCCTCCTGATTTCCCCTTCTTGTTATCCATGGCCAATTTACAAAGCACTTGGTGCCCATCAATAGTCTTGACTGGCTCAACTAGAGACGCCCTAGCACCCTCCTCCGTTTTGTACACAAAGAACGCAAAACCTTTGGACTTTCCGTTAGCTTTGTCAAACCCAAGAGGCCCTTCTTCGATTTCCCCATAAGCCAAAAAGTAACTCAACAGCCTCTCCGACGAAATATCAAACGGTACATTGCCCACAAAAATTTTTCGGGCAGAAACATCACTTGCAGCTGCGGCAGCCGCATTAGTCCCTTGACTGGCCGACAATCCAGAAGCTGCAAGCTGGGTCACCGTCATTCTCCCGTCAATTTTCTTACTGGGCTCTTTCAAAGCCAATATAGCACCATCAACGTGTTTAAACGTCACAAAGCCGTATCCTTTGGACTTCCCGGTCGTTTTGTCGAAGATAACAATCGCCTCATCGAGCACCCCAAAGGAGGAGAAAACACTGCTAAGTGTCTCCGTGGTGGTTTCCCCTGCAAGCCCCCGAACAAAGAGTTTCCGAAGGGTGGAATCACGGTCGGCGACGGAACGTATAGACTCAAGAACGTCAGGGTGATGAAGAGCAGCTGAAAGAAGCAGGTCGATAAGCTGTTCTTGATTGAAGGGTTGGAGGATCTTGCGGATGTCATCTGCACCAAGCGGGGTTGTTGAGGGCACAGAATCGTCGATTCCGTTCTCCTCGGCTTTGCGCTTCTTGGAGAAATCCATGGCAAAAAGACTTCGGTCAGGCTTTGCAGATTAGGGATTCCTGTTTGGCAGGGAAGAATTTAGAGGATACCTTCAGCGTGGAGGGAGGAATATATAAACCCTAACACCCGATCGGCAAGGCGTGATTCGGGTCAGCCCGGTTATAAATTAAATTAAGACCAATAATCATCAGTTGCCAATAATTAAAGTCATTTGTATTAGTATATCCATAATTTGTACTACCTCCTATTTTAAATATAAAAATTAGTTATCAACAGGGTTGGTTTAAGTGGTAAGCGGTTTGGTATCGCTTAAGTGAGGTCTCGAGTTCGAGCCTCAACGTATGCAGTCAGGTGCACGACGCGGGTCGTATTTAGATGTAGTTGGTGAATTGAATGGGGCAACTAAAAAATATATATAAAAATTAGTTAACTAATTTGAGTAAATAAAAAAAAATTAAATTAGTTATTTATAATAAACATGTATTGTTTTTCCTAAAATATTTTTGCTAATCAAGTTTATTAGTCAGAACTACTGTTATTAGAATGATTATCTTTAAAAAGGATGAATAAATAAAAAAGATAAAATAAATTAGGATCTTATATTTAGGATCAAAATAAAAATCAAACAAAATCTTATATTAAAAATGAAGATCATATTTTAAGGATTTTTTTTTTTTTGCCAACCGTATTCTAAAGATTCAAAGACTTGCGCCCCTTTTTTCTTTGAAAGTTGAGACGAATAACAAATATAGATAACGAATATAGAATTGCCTTTTTATTTAAAAAAATAACAAATATAGATAATAGTACAGCTATATCATTCCTCTTATCATTTTTATAAGTTACTTAAATAAAAGATTCTTTCTTATATTATTTTGGAAAAAAGACAGAAAAATAACATTTGAATTTCATAATGTCCAAATGGTATGCTAAATTTAAGAAATCTTAATTTGGTCTCAAAAGACCAAATTGAGATTATCATGTTAAAAGAAAAGGCCAAATTGAGATTATCATGTTAAAGGAAAAGACTAAATTGTCCTTCATTTTATTTATTATTTTTAAAATACCAAAACTCCCACTAGCTGGCCAGTCGTTCGCCAAAGCTCTGGTGGCAACAGTCACCGGAGTTCCGATAGTCGGAAATAATTTTTTTGAAAATTTTTACAACGTCAGTATAATGGTTAACAACTTTTGCAATATTATTAACAATTTCAGTATAGTAGTTAACAACACGTTTTCTGAGAAACTTAACAAGCTATAATAGCCGAAAACAATTTTTTTGAAAATTTTTACAACTTTAGTATAAAGGTTAGCAACTTTTGTAACGCTATTAACAATATCAGTATAGCAGTTAACAACAGGTTTTGTAGGAAATTCAACAAGCTCTGGTGGCCGAAAACAATTTTTTTGAAAATTTTTACAACTTCAATATAACCGTTAACAACTTTTATAACGTTATTAACAATTTCAATATATCAGTTAATAATAGGTTTTTCAGGAAATTCAATAATTGGTCGCCGGACCTCCAATGGCTGAAAACAATTTTTTGAAATTTTTTACAACTTTAGTATAACGGTTAACAACTTTTGTAACTCTATTAACAACTTCAGTATAGAGGTTAACAACAGGTTTTTGAGTTTGTTAACGGCATTAATGAAGTTGTAAAATGCTACTTTTTGAATTTTCTGAAAAACCTGTTGTTAACTGCTATATCAAAGTTGTTAATAGAGTTACAGAAATTGTTAACTGTTCTACTAAAATTGTAAAAATTTTAAAAAAAAAAGTAGTTGTTAAAGCTATAAAAATGTCATTTTTTTGAATTTGTAAGAAAACCTGTTATTAAATGCTATATCAAAACTGTTAATAAAGTTATAAAACTTGTTAATGGCATTATTGAAATTATAAAAATACTACTTTTTGTATTTCTCAAAAAACCTGTTGTTGACAGTGTTACAAAAGTTGTTAACCGTTATATTGACATTGTAAAATTTTTTTAAAAAATTGTTTCTGGCTGCTGGAGCTTCGGCGACCAATTATTGAATTTCCCGAAAAAGCTGTTGTTAACTGCTATACTGAAATTGTTAATAGCATCACAAAAGTTGTTAACTATTATACTGAAATTGTAAAGATTTTCAAAATAATTGTTTTCGGCCGCTAGAGCTTGTTGAACTTCCCAGAAAACCTGTTGTTAACTGTTATACTGAGGTTGTTAATAGCGTTGTAAAAGTTGTTAACCGTTATATTGAAGTTGTACAAATTTTTAAAAAAATTGTTTTCGGCCACTGGAGCTTGTTGAATTTTTCAGAAAACTTATTGCTAATTACTATACTGAAGTTGTTAATAGCGTTACAAAAGTTGTTAACCGTTATACTGAAGTTATAAAAATTTAAAAAAAAATGTTTTCGGCCGCTAAAGCTTGTTGAATTTCTCAGAAAACCTGTTGTTAACTGCTATATTAAAGTTATTAATAGCATTATAAAAGTTGTTAACCGTTATACTGAAGTTGTAAAAATTTTCAAAAAAATTATTTCTAATTGTCGGAGCTCCGGCAGGCTAGTAGGGGTTTTCGTATTTTAAAAATAATAAATAGAATAAAAAGCAATTTGGTATTTTCTTTTAACATGATAATCCTAATTTGGTCTTTGGAGACCAAATTGGGATTTCTCAAATTCAGCAGACCATTTGGGCATTATAAAGTTTAAGTGCCATTTTTTTGTCTTTTTCCCTAATATTTTTATAAGGCATCATATGAGATGTTTATTTTATGTTTCATATTTTTTGTGCATCCGCATGTATTATAGCTCATTTATAAGGTGGTCTATGTTTTTCGATTATAACTCTCTTAACTTATCAAATGTTCGGTTTATTTTTATGCCTCCTATTATGGTCAAAATAATACTCTTTCCGTCTCTTATTATAAGATTTAATTTTTTAAATAGGTTTGTTTTTTTTATAAGATCCTTTTTTAGTTTATCTGAACATTTAATGTAGTATTATTTATTTTACTCATAATTTAATGTATTTAATACATTTTCTTTCTTCATTTATCTCATTATTACTCTCTTACATTTATCCATTTATATATAGAGTTATATTTGAAAAAAAACTGTATTTGCTACATATTAATTACTTTTAACTAGTTTTAATTGTTTTTTTAAACCGTACAATTTAATTAAAAAGATATCACAAATGGAGTAGTAAAAGTAACTTACAGATAATAACCCAAAAATCCTTGTGAATCATGTGGGGAGCAAAGATCACCCCAGAAATCCTTGTCTAATTTCTTAAGGAAAATTAGTTCACAATTAATTTTTAGGATTAATATAATTTTTAGTTTCTGAAATTTGACTCTAATTTTTATTTTAATTTAAAAATTTAAAACAAATATTTTTAGTTTTTATTTTAATTTAAAAATTTGAAACAAATAGTTCTAGTTTCTAAAATTTAAATGGTTAGTCTTGTTGTAAGAATTAAAAAAAATTAAATCAGACTAACATAAAATTAAATTTAAAATGCTAAAATATTGGTTTAAAATTTAAGAACTAAACACATTTTAAAATTAAGACTGCTCGTTTCAAATTTTATCCAGCAAAATTAAAAAGAAGTGATCGAATTTAAACGCCAAATATAGCACCAGTATCCTGTCGGTAGGAAAATTTATTGGAAAACCAGGTAAATAACGCGGACGCGATGACGGATGTGGAGTCCGAGGTACAACATTAACGGGAGGATAAGGAAAAAGGCAGCTCACAGTGTCAGTGGAACTAAAATCGGTTTGCCGAAGACGCGGGAATATGGCCGACAGTTGGTTGGGTCCCACATGGTGGAAGACCTTCCCCTTCCCGTACCCCAGACTACCTTCCCCGTCTTCTCCCACTTCAACCTTTTCCTCCGCTATGGCTTCATTTCCTTCTCAGCATCGCCAATGTCGTTGTTCCTCGGATGCTAACCCTACTCACCCGCAACCCGCATTGCTCGTATTTTCGGGTACCTGATAGTTTCATTCGCTCAATACCGTCTGTTTTCTTGTCTTCTTTTATTGTGTTGATGTGGAAATCTAAGCGCTTTTCGGAGTTCGATGCGTAGGTGGGACGGCGTTCAATGGCGTGGCGGAAGAGCTTCAGAACTTCACCACTCGTGTGGCTCATGTTCTCCCCGTTTCTGATGATGGTGGAAGTACGGCTGAAATTGTCCGTGTCCTTGGTAACTATTTTTACTTCTCGCAAGATCATTTGATGGTGAATGTCTGCGAAATTTTGATCTTATCTTCCCGGGGGCTTGCCAGTGGATATTTGGCTTTGAGAAAATTTGTTATTTTTGAGCTTACTGGAAATAGAAATTAGAAATATGATTCCATGATGGGATAATTTACAGGTGGTCCTGCTGTTGGGGACATACGATCCAGGTGTCTGAGATTGTCTAATCGAAGTACGGCGGAGGCTCTTGCAATTCGCAGATTGCTTGGTCATCGTCTATCACTTGATCCACATCACGCTAAATCAGAATGGTACCCCTTTATTGATGCCGTGAAAAGCCTCCTTCCTGCTGTGAATAATATTATTTTTTTCTTCGGCAAAATCAGAGTGGTGCCACTTTAATGTTACATCTATTATATTTCCATGCTCACAATTCTATACTCCATTGGAGCTGTCATTCAGATTTACTCCGATGTAATACTTGAAATATAAATAATAGGTTTTCCCAATTGGTGTTGGTATGTAAAAAAACAAAACTTGGAATATAAATCTTGATCCTTTCAGAAATATTTTTCAGAATTCAAGCTAAAAAGAAAAGGCTGAAATAGTTATATTTGCATAACTCAAGGCCTTATCACTTTATAACTTCTGCCTTGGGAGGATGTCAGTCTTAGTCTACTTCCCTATAGTCAACAAATCTCTGACATTTTCATCTCTCCCTTCCTCCACTTCTGCTGCAATTATATAACGTCTTAGTATATCATCTTCTTCTTCAATCATTTGTGTTTATTTGTGTGAGTCATTGATTAGTGCTGTCTGTCTTTCCTCTAGTTTTGATGGAACTATAACTACTAACTTGTGCTTTCTATCTATGGGACGTGATCCCTTGTGCCAACTGGTCATATGTCTTAATTTAATGGGGAAAATTATTTTGAATGTTTTCTTCACTCCCCTTGTGTGATTTGCTATATGTTATTGTTGTGTAATACTCTTGGTTTAGCAGTTAGCTGAGTTTCATGTTGTAGGTACTCTATTGTGGAGGGTGATCACTCTCTATGGAAAGGTGTGTCAAAACCCTACAGGGAGACTATTCGTGCCTTTCTGGCCTATTTCCAGAATCAGGTGACCTCTGTGTGCAAACTGATGCTTTTTTATTGGATTTCTCATTCTGTCAATAAACAACCTTTTTTTCATAACTATTTTTTCTCTCTCTTCTCTGGCTATTAGCGAAATACTGCGTACATATAATTTCTTTCTAGATGATGAACTCTCGATTCACATTGTCAATTTCAACCTCTTTTTCTCCATGATTTTTTTTTTTAAATTTTTGGTTAGCAAGGGGCTACTGTTTCTCTGAGTTGTTCTAAATTATTTATCACTACAAATATTATTTTTATCAATATTGCTATCTTTCTGGTATTTTGCCCTTTAGTATGCTGTCATTTTCGTCATCACCATCATAATGTTGTTGTTATAAATATTGCTACTACTTTTCCTATTATCGTTTTTCCAAGTTGCTTGCCTCTTTTATGCTCTTTCAATATTTTGGCATAACACGTGGCCTTTCTTTGTCTTTGTACAGATTATTCGCCGATCCGATGAATCATTTTGTTTCAGCAATGGCAGGTCTTTTATCTGCTACTTCATCCTGATTTTAGTTTAATAGAGTGAATTTAAGGGTCTAATTGTTTAACAACTTTACTGACATCTTATAAACCTTGCAGCATTGGGAATTTCTTTTTTGCAGGAGCACGCATATTTTTTCAGTCCTTGGATGCTGCAATATTTCTGTTTTCACGTGTATCAGAGATTCCTTCTGATAGCCTGGTCTTACCGGTGATTTCAACCAATGATAGGCTTACATTAGGATGTGAATTATGGGTATGGTTGATGGTTCTATAACTGATTAACATTGTAACCATGATATGGTTCCATGGAGTTTGTATTCTAGGTGTATATTTATTTTTCATTATAAAAGCAATTGATCTAAAATTTCTCAATGGTGAGTTTCACTCCTTTTTTAATCCAGTACATCATCTCACAACTTGTTTCAATCATATTATAGGACGGTACCATTATACGGGGACAAAATGAAATTTCTCATCCGACCAGTGGATCCATGGAGCCTGTTAAAAAGGTGTGTTAGTGTCTTATCTGTGATAAGATGCTAACTCTTACTGTCTTACAGCATCTTGGTTGAACTTCTTTTGGTAGAAAGGGAGCTTTGCTGAAATATATTATATATGTTATCCAGCCGCTGATTGACTTCTATCACCAATAATTTCTTTCTCTATAAGTAAAATTATGAAGTTTTTGTATTGTGCTACTGGTTCTTGGCATTTGTATTGGATGCTTCTAATCTGTTGAAGTTTTATACATTCATGGACAGGAAAACTCTTCAACTCCAGGACTTCCTTCAAGAATAAAGCGGGTGTTCTACATGTCAAGTGAAGGGAAAAATTTGCTTCATGAGGTTAATGGCTTGTCTTGTCTAAGCATTTGCAATGTCATATAGGAGCTTGATGTGAATGATTCTTCTTCTTCTTCTTCTTTTTTTTAAAATATGCATTGCTCTATAGAATGGGAATAGAAGTAAACTCAAAAGGATTGATAGATGATGCAAGCATAGAATCATTTATCTTATTTTTTGCATGGACAATTATCAAATATTCTTGTATTGCATATTATGTGAGTAATATTAATAAAGTATCTATTTTATCTCGGGTGATGGAAGGAGACTTTTATTTTGGTTATTATTGGTGATCAGCTTCATTACTTGTTAACATCTTCTGTACAATTTCATTTTTGGCCACTTGTTATGTTTGGGTTTGGTTTGGTTTGGTTTTAATCTAACCGAGCCTTTAAAAAAAAAAAAAGAAGCCAATTTGAGGAAATTGGTTTGGATGTGGGGAAAAAAAACTGATTTGGACCTCCTCAATTTTTCATTGTAGTCAATTTGTTTTTGTTCTGAATGTAACTACTGGTTTTTAACTATTACTTCCTTTATTCTTATTTTTAAATAGGTCTTTCCTGCTGCTAATCCTGCTGTGCTAGAGCAGTTGAATAATGTGGATTGCATTGTCTATGCTATGGGTTCCCTTTTTACTTCGATCTGCCCTTCATTGGTAAGGTCCTTGCTATCAGTATATATGTTGTGCAGTTATACGGTATTTCTTCTCGATGAAGTGACATGGTTACCTACTGATTCATTTCATTTGAAACGGTCCTGATTCTGTGTCTTCTAGTTCTAACGCAATATTTTTGTATTATTTGATATATTGTAAAATTAATTGATATTCTCTGTGATCATTAAATCTTGATATGAGTTGTGTCTGATGCTTATCTACTGAGTAGAGCAACATTTTATTTGCTACGGGAACTTTAGTATTTGTGAGAATCAATGCACCATAGCTGTATGCAGATAATTTTAGCGGGATGGTTTAAGCTCTTCAAGGGTAGGGTTTCAGTTGCTAATGGACTTCTATCACGAGACAGTGAAATCACACTTTAAATGCACAAGGGGGAGAAGTGATTGTGAACCAAATCATATGGATTTCTCCCCTAAATAAAGGGGTAGGGTGATTACCAACTTAGGTACAGAAAAGTAGAATGATACTTTTCGAACAATCGGATGGTGTTGCAAAATGATAATGATTGAACCTATGTTTTCTCCCCCAAAACTTTCTACCTATTTTAAAATTTAACTTGCTGAGTAGTAATGATAGAAACTCGTCCCCCCTGAAAGTTTCCTCCCCTTGTAAAACTCAATATGCTAAATCTTAAACCAATGGATGTTTTTGCATATTTTACTGACTGTATTTAGCTGCTAGCATGGTGTTTAGATTTATAAAGGAAAAGAATAATGTCAATTTGCTGAGGCAGTTAAGACTAAAATTCTTGTCTTCCCAGATGTTTGATAATTATACATTTCAGTAACTGCAGATCTTTATATGCATTTGCAAAGAGAAATTAATTGTTCTATTGCATTGAGCCATAATTTGACTTCTTAGTTTGTTAAGAGCATAATGTCATCGTAAACAAAGAAGAAGAAAGTCTCAGCTGACTTTACATCAAATGATGTGGAACGTTCTACTATTTTGTGGGAGTTGGAGGCACTTTCTTGCATTAATCATACACATGTACTAAAGAGTTGGCTGTCATACCCAATCTGATTTTACTAGATTAACTTACTTTCCAGCTCTCTGAGAAAATCGTTTTGATCTAATTTTATTACAGCTAATTTGTAATTTTATGGAAGCAACATTTTTTCTTTAGGCAATTAAATTGTACCATTAGATGGTACTGACTCCCATAATTTTGTAGGTATTGCTGGGAATTGGAGAGATCATATCTTCAAGATCCTGTCTAAAGGTATTTTTGTGATCTTTTCCTAAGCTCATTGGCAAGAGTGATGATGAGGTTGGGGTCTCCATAAGATGCACTTTTTATTCATCTTTTCACTGGAAAACAATCACCCGGACTGCAACTCATTCAAAGTGGCCCCAACCTTGGTATAACTGCACTGTTTGATTGAGGGCAAAGTGGGCATAGGTTGATTTCCTTTGATATGGTTGCAAGTCCCAAGTCCCATAACATTTAACTTTTCAATATGACGAAACCCAAGATTTTAAGTTCTGTCCGTCATATGGTATGAGCGCACTGTTTCAATCAATTCAACTACAGTTGTAGTGAAGCACGCGTCTCTTCGCTAGATAGATAAAACTCTATTTTATTTGATGGAAATTAGTGTGTGTGTGTGTGTGCGTGTGTTCTTGTTTACTTCCATGGCATTATCCAAGCTCTTTCCTTACTGGAACTTGGACTGCACTGTGCCTTGTTTTGGCGACCTAATGGTGGATTAGATTTGTGTCTCGCTCATTGAAATCTCCGTGACTTGCCAGTTTGTTAATAATAATTTGAGGAAAAAAGTTGACAGGTGCTTATGTTGAATGGCTCACGTGACCGGGAGACAAGTGATTTTTCAGCTTCATGCTTTGTAACTGCCATTACGGATGCTCTCAATCGAACATATGGAGATCCCTGTAATCGCTTACAGAACCTGGCAAGTATCGAAATTCCTTCATCAGCAAATTACCTGTAGCCAATATAACTGACTTCGTCCGGAGAGCCAGTATTTAATCATTGGGACTATTTTTTCTTAACTAAAGAAATCCCATAAAACTTGAATTCACAGAGTTAGTTGATTTGACTGTTTTTGGCTACTCTAGGGACACGTGTCATCTATGTAGTATGAGCATTTCTTATACTTCACAGCTCTACTCTTCTTGACGCAATTTTTTCTTTAATTAAAAATTTTTTTTGCAGCCTGGACAGTATATCAATACCCTCTTGGTTCCAAGAGACGGTGAAATTCCAGTTGATAAAGAATGTCTGGCTTCCCAAGGAATACGTGAGGTGGTATGTTGATTTGTAATTCAAAGTAATTGTGACCGAGAGAAGAAATTATCTTCTTTCCTGAGATCTCAATATAGGCCAGTTGTTTTCAAACTTCAATGGACAAATTCAAAGAAAGAGCTTGCATATTTTTAGGTTGTATTTGACATGTTGACCTATCAAAATGACATTTTTAGGTTGTATTTGACATGTTGAACTATCAAAATGACTTGAGATGTGTTTGGGTGTCCGTTTTCTATGAACCGGACGTTTTCCCAAATCCGACAGTAGGTTTTGGGTGTCCAAAATGGACAACCGACACACACACAGTGCAGGAATTATGGCAAGGACTTGCTCAGCGACTTTTTTACACTATAGGACCATATAACCACCAAATATGGTTACCCGGTATCAAATGTTAGACCGAATAACCCAATGGCGATTGGTCCATATGAGTAAAAACTTAACTGGTGGGTCCTTATTCACAATTTTTTCCATGTGAAATTAGTTTTCGCAAAAGCTTCATTTTAAGGTGTTTCTCCAGTGTTTTGTCATTTCAACAATTGATGAACGTCAAAATTGTAATCATATTACTATATGCGCTTTGTGATGCAAGATCATTACCTTAATTAAATGTTTATCTCGCATTTGTTACTTCTGCAGATAGTTGTTGATTCGATACGTGATCCTAATGTCGGTGTGATATATGACCCCAAATCATTGATACAAGCTCTTGCTGATCTGATAGGCAGATATATGAAGTCTCAGGTTACTCTGGGGCAAGCCAAATCTTTTGCCACGTGACCGTCGAATCAAGTCTTAAAGTGGTTCACTGTTCCCAAGGTTAGAAAAAGTATCTGATAAACAGCAAATTTTCCATGGCGCAGCTTCTATCTTTCTGCTGATGTTGAATTATGGCAGTCTTAATTTCAGGTAATTCATCCTAAAACTATAATTGAATCATTTGTGATTCTCAGTTCAAAATATATGAATCCTTGATTATGAGGAATCTTATGTTGGTACTAATTCTTTTTTCGCTCATCAAATTCCAGGTGATTCTCTCTGTTCTCAGTCAAGAGGCTGCTGATGGCTCTCAAAAAATGGCTACTGTGAATTGTATCTGTTAATTTGATCGTTAACTATTGAAAAAGTGTCTGTTTTACTCTCTGTACATATCTAATATCTTGTACATAATTATGAGCTTTCGGTTGGTCTTAGTATTTACCTTTCTTCTTTCTTCTTCCTTGTATTATGTTTCCTTTTTCCCAATTTCTCCCCTGACTTGCATCCACCGTTGGTTGGCTTGGTACTTTGGGATCACACAAAGGACTCTCTTTTTTCAACCATTATATCAATGTTTGAATGGTTCAAATTTGTTCTTTTATAAAATTATTATCACAATGTTAATTTATAAATTTCAAATACGAATAACGAAAAAACCTTTTTGGCTATAAATAAATAATAAAAATCATCTTCGTTTTAATCTTTCCGTCATATTACATTTTTGGGGAAAAAAATAAAAACTTTAATGTTTTTTAAAAATTTAATATCATTCTTCTAAAATAAGATTTTTTTCTGAAATATAGGTATCATACTATTAAAAGTAATTTTATTTGAGGTACTGTCAGATATTAAATATAGACACCTCTTTTAATGGGGATTAAAATAAGATTTTTAACAGAGAAGAAAGAAAAGAATCTTTTGAAAAGGAAAAACACAATTCTGCTGTGGGTTTAGAGTTTCGTATGGGGCGAAAAACATATTACGGTTTCGACCTCTGGCCCAAAAAAGAAACTACAGATTGGATAAGATATTTCAGCATCTTTCCGGCACCCAACACTTGCTTCTTTGGCATGAGAGTAGCAAACTAGGAGAGGCTTCTCGCTGCAATCACTTCCTTACATCTGAGCGGCAATTGTGAAGAAAGATTCGGTAAGGAACGCAGAGGAAGCAATGCCATTGAAAAATTAAGAGTGAGATTGAGAAAGAGAGAAGGAGACGCAGAGGAGAGAGGAAGCAAGAGAGGGATTGATACACAGAGAGAGAGAGAGAGAGAGAGCAAAAACCAGGGGGAAAATATCTTGCTATGGGTTATTGGATTGGGTTTTGCCAGAGTTAGATATTGATTCTGCTCCATGTCTTAATCGTCACGCCCTGCGCTATACATGTTTGTTGAATTGTCTCAATGGCTTTGTCTTCGTTGCCCTGTCATCCTTTGTCTCTCCCTGTTACCAATTACCGCTCAAAACCTACCCTTTTCTCTTTCAAACGACTAACCTTCGATTTCTTCGTGCCTTTTTGCTCCACTTCTAGCTCGTCAGCTACACTCACTTCCTCCCCAGTACAACAGCTCCCTTCTGATTTTTCACCCTCACAACTCTTGGATCTCCTTCGTCGCCAAAAAGATGAATCCTCAGCGCTTCGCATATTCGAATGGGCCTCAAAACAACCCAATTTCGTACCCGTTTCATCCATATACGAGGAAATCCTTCAAAAGCTTGGGAAAGTGGGGTCTTTTGATTCCATGATGCTAGTGTTAAAAGAAATGAAGTCTGCAGGTTGCGTTGTTGATACTGGTATTTTCCTTATTTTCATTGAGAGCTACGCCAATTTTCAGTTATATGAAGAAATTGACGCTATCCTCCGAGTAATGGAAGATGAATTTGGACTGAAACCTGACACACATTTCTATAATTTCTTGCTGAATGTCCTTGTCGATGGCAACAAGCTTAAACTTGTTGAAACAATTCATTCAAAGATGGTTAATAGTGGAATTCAGCCGGATGTTTCAACCTTCAATATCTTGATAAAAGCTCTCTGTAAAGCCCATCAGTTAAGACCTGCCAATTTGATGTTGGAAGAGATGCCAAGTTATGGGTTGTCACCGGATGAGAAAACATTCACAACATTAATGCAAGGTTTTATTGAGGAAGGTGACATGAAGGGCGCGTTAAGGATAAAAGAGCGGATGGTAGAATGTGGGTGTCTGCTGACCAACGTGTCTGTTAACGTTTTAGTGAGTGGCTTTTGCAAAGAAGGTCAAGTTGAGGAAGCCCTGAGTTTCATTCAAGACGTATCAGATGAGGGATTTTACCCTGATCAAGTTACTTTTAATGCTTTGATGAATGGGTTGTGTAGAAGAGGGCATGTCAATCATGCTCTCGAAATCATGGATGTTATGCTTGAAAAGGGATTTGATCCGGACGTCTATAGCTACAACTCCTTGATCTCTGGATTATGTAAATTAGGAGAAATTGATGAGGCAGTTGAAATTCTGCATCAGATGATTTCGAGGGATTGTTCCCCAAACACTGTTACTTATAACACGCTAATTAACACCTTGTGTAAGGAGAACCATGTTGAGGCAGCAGCTGAACTTGCTCATGTTCTTACCAGTAAGGGTATATTACCTGATGTTTGTACATTTAATTCTTTAATACAAGGTCTCTGCTTGACTGGTAACCGTGAAATTGCAATGGAACTATTTGAGGAAATGAAGAAGAAAGGATGTCGACCTGATGAGTTTACATACAGCATACTGATTGATAGCCTCTGTACGAGAAGGAAACTTGAAGAAGCTTTAAACCTGCTGAAGGAAATGGAGTCAAGTGGCTGTGCCCGTAACGTTGTGGTATACAATACTTTGATAGATGGTTTGTGCAAAAATAAAAGAATTGAAGAAGCAGAGGAAATCTTTGATCAGATGGAACTCCAAGGGGTGTCAAGAAATTCAGTAACCTATAACACCCTCATAGATGGTCTCTGTAAAAGCAGAAGAGTGGAGGAAGCTGCTCAGCTTATGGATCAAATGATCATGGAAGGATTAAAGCCTGATAAGTTTACCTATAATTCATTGCTTACATACTTCTGCCGGGGTGGAGATATAAAGAAGGCAGCTGATATAGTGCAAACTATGACTTCAAATGGCTGTGAACCAGACATTGTTACCTATGGGACCCTTATTGGGGGACTATGTAAGGCTGGCAGAACAGAGGTTGCAAGTAAGCTCCTCAGATCTATCCAGATGAAAGGCATGGTCTTGACTCCACATGCTTATAACCCTGTAATCCAAGCTCTCTTTAAAAGAAAAAGAACAAAAGAGGCCATGAGGCTTTTCAGAGAAATGATAGAGAAGGCTCATCCACCAGATGCTGTAACATATAAGATTGTTTTCCGTGGCCTCTGTAATGGTGGAGGGCCAATTCAAGAAGCTGTTGATTTTACAGTTGAGATGTTGGAGGAGGGACTCCTGCCAGAGTTCTCATCGTTTGTCTTCTTAGCAGAAGGGCTTTGTTCTTTATCCATGGAAGACACTCTTACTAAACTCATTAATATGGTCATGGAGAAAGCAAAATTCTCAGCAAATGAAATATCTATGATCAGAGGCTTCCTCAAGATCCAGAAATTTAAAGATGCATTGGCCACTTTGGGCGGTATCTTGGATACACGAACGGCCAGGAGATTTTAGTGGTGAAAAGTTTGGGTGTAAATTATATGTGCGATGATGTTCTGAAGCGTATGCTAAGAAAGCCCCTCGTTGCATTTCACAAGGATGCTGAAGGCAAAGTTCGAGACCGAGAAAAGTTTGTTTGCCCGGGAATCAACACATTACAGAACCCTTGGCTTTCTTCTTGCTGTCCATATTTGTGGGAACCTCTATCCAGCCTCAGTAAAATGCAAAAAGTGAAGACCGGCGATCACTGAAATGTCCTCTGAATTTAGAGATACAAGAAAGGAATTCACCCACTTTTGGAGGCTTCTTATACGGGACTGAGTTACGGTTTTGTATTGACTTGGAGGTGCTGGATAAGATTCCAGTTGGTCTTGAATTCGTATTACGGTTGAATACTGTAAGCGCTTGACCTGAGTTGTAGAATTTTTCCTTTCACCAATATTTGCTTGAATATAATTATTAGTTATAAACAAGTGTCGCTTCCTCTTTATTGCAAAGATTTCTAAATTAAATTTCAGCTAATCTTGTGAATACATCACACTTTTGAATCTTTCATTATCAAGGCATGTTTTTGCACCAGAAATCGTTGTTTGTGGAATCTCAAGAGTAATGCTTCGTCTCTTTACTGCTTGTATGTGACGCTGTAAGGCTTTAACTTTCCTTCGTAAAGCTGCTGTGTATGTGCTTGCTCTGTTCCCCAAAGGCTAGATTGTTTAAATCCATTCTCTCAGAATTTAGTCTCATTACTTTCTCGACGAGTCAACTAGATGTTGCAGTTGAATTATTTGCAGCAAACCCTGCATTGGTTTTTGTTTACCTTCATTCTATCATTAACTTTTATCCATCAACGCCTCATGCTACTTTTGTGACACTCCTTGTAGCTATTTGGTATAAGGCCTTAATAAAAATTAACAGCAACTGTCCTCATAATTTTTACTCTTGCAAAAGCTAGAATTTCTCTTCCCGTGCAGGGACGCTCATTTTGGAAAAATAGAAAACAAAACGTAAAATAATATCAAGTTACTCTACTTATATATAAACTATTAATATTTGGCTTCGTTTGTTTGGTCTGAGCTTAGTTTAAAGTTGAACTGATTGAATTTATCAAGAAGCACCTTCATGGAGTGCTGCTATAGCCCACCTCTACATCTTCGCTCACCACTGCTGGCCCCTCATGTGAGGATGGCGTGCCTACTTAAATTTGCCATCATGAAAACTCATGTGTATTAAACTTTAAATCAATGCCTTGATTGATCATTCCGAGTTTGGGCGTGAGGGCCCTCAATTGCAAGTGTTGCAGAACTCAAAAAGATGGGTGGGTTCTATTTAACAGCCATGTGATGGGGAGTAATAAGTAGATGAAGAAGAAATAACAAGCCAATAGTTTAATGAGACCCAGTGGGTCCGATAGGCTTTGTGCTTAGTGGCTTTGGCGAGTCGAGCTCAACTTAATTTTGGGTTTGGTGGATGCCTCTTCTTATATTCTCAAGTGACTTTAGTGGACACAGGATACACACACACAGCAAGTGGACAATGGCTAGCCTTGCAGCTCTAAGTGGTGGAGCCCATTTGTTATACAATATCCTTCATATAAAAATTACTCCTCCGGTTTTAATTATAAGACCCAATTGACTTATTTGAGGAGATTAAGGAAGTAAGTTAAGTTGGTTATTTATAATAAATAAGTGTTGTCATTCCTAAAATATCCTTGCTAATTAATTATATTCGCTAAAACTATCATTATTAGAAGGATTATCTTGGAAAAAAATACATAAATATAAGAGACAAAATGGATTGGGGTCTTATAATTAGGACAAATAAAAAGTCAAATGAGGTCTTATAATAAGGACCGGGGAGTAGTTATTTTGTGTGCGTTGCCATGTTTGAACTCCTGGCTTAAGAGGTGAAAACAAAACACT